CCTTTCCTCTTCATTGGTATATTACATTGTGGATTGGTAGGTGCCATCTGCGGATTTCCTGAAGTGTTTCTGCATAGAATGATGCATCATAGAAAGATGCATCTAAGTTTTTGTGTTTAATGTATCAAATTTTGATTTTATTTGTGTCAAAAAGCAATTTAGCATATGTACCTAATACTGTGGGTGGAAAGTCCATGATTATAAATAGAGCAAAATAGATTTCAGATAAAAACAAATTAAAAGGAAAGACAAACATATATGAACTTAAACAAATCTGTGTCTCTACTATGTACCCACTTTTTATTTAAAAGAAGAAAAAAAACAAGAATGTTGGGTGTTTTGATGATTCAGATAGAACTGTAGTGCGTTTCAATTTAAGTGAGTCATACACAGAGGAGGCCAGGGCGCCAGTTTAAGCTAAGTCGTTGTTGGCTGTGATGAAAGATAAGTCAAGGGTTTCAGATGTGCAGCACCTCGCCCGAACAAGCAAGAACAGAGCAAACAGATGCATGAGCAGACAGACACTAATTCCAGTGTGGGTAGACTTGTAATCACCTCTTCCTTATTTATTACATTTTTTCATTGGCGCAGAGATAGACAAAAACATAACAGGTACATGACATTTACCTCATATCCTTTAATTTAACCCTTGAAAGATTGATTTTTGCTTTGGCTTACAAACTTTGATATTGTGTTTTTAGTATTTCAGTTTATGTATTTGAGATCTCTGTCTTGACTTTTCATATCTTATAGTTCTTTCAGGCCAGTCTGTGCACGCTGAAGAATGATTATGTTTGGAAAATATCATTTTTAAATAATGAAACAGTTATTAACCACTGTTGTGCATATTCCTGTAAATAATAAATGATGCGGTTCTTGGTATTAGCCTTTTAAACTCAGTTTCTTGTTATAATCAAAAGTGAAACTTCTTTTCTCAAAAACCTTCAATGCTCTTGCTGTATTTGTGTTGTGAGTAACAAAAAACTCTCAAACCTCACTTCCTGTAAATTAATCAAACGTCTTCTGTTGAAATATGGCATGATTTTCCCCTATTATGTAAAGCTAATGTCACAATAGCATTTTAGAAAAAATTCAAAATTTGATGCTCTACAGCTGACTGATGAAACGTGGATATTGCTCACAGCCTGGAAATTTTTTTGTTAGGGTCACAATGACTGAATGTGGAAGTTGTTTCTGTGAAAATCACTTAATGAAGCGGATATTACCACAGAATTCTTATAATTTCCAACTGTTAGGGTTTTTACTTTAAGTAGATGGATTCCTGTTTTAATTTTTTATTCAAATACAGGTAGCAAAAAAGGATTTATATCACATGTGGTACCATTATTTTAGATGAATTAAGGTTTTTATTTATTTTTTTTTATTATTTATTGCAAGTATCAAATAATATCCCATTTCATGATTTGGAGAAGTTTCTTTCCTCGACCAGAGCACATTTTATCTTGTAACTGAATCTCTTCTCAGATATGAATGGTTCTTCCCAGACATTACCCCAAAATCACGGAACCTTTTCTCTATGAACTCTTTGACAACATCAGGAAACTGATTTACATAAGTGCATCACACCCTGGAACTGCAAGAGTCTTCTTCCTCATTTAATCATGCGAGCAATGCCTAAAGATTTTGTAAATTTGCCAGCAGTTGGTTACTATTCAATTGAAGATTGGAGCATCAACGTTTTAAGTAATTCAGGCTTAAAAAAATATCTTCCTGATTTATTGTCAGACTTCAATCCCGTACTAGATATACAGGTTTATACCCCTTTGTCATCAAAGCTCTGTACTATTTAATATCTTACAGGTACTATTAACAAAGTAATGGATTAATATTGGTGTTTTACTCCCTTAACAGATTTTAAACAATAGGTTTTTTTTGTTATATATATATAGACTCATATCAAAAGGGACAAACATTCTTTATGGACAAAAATTATGGACACCATTGAGCATCCTCTTCATCAGACTGTTAAACAGCAAAAGAGTTACTTCCACCGGAGGCTTCTCCAGAATAAACAATATTTGAAGTATATTTGGATGGAGCTGAATTATCTTAATACTATTTCTCATAATTCATTCATTTCACTCTATTTCATTTTTTTTTGTATATTTGGGATTTTTAATAATAAATGCCCTGTCACTGATTGGCGGAGAAGCCTTAATTTAGATTATGGTATTTAAGCTTGCCAGAGTTGGTGTGTTTTTTTTTTTTTCAACCCACTATAGAACAGCACCTAAAGAAACTGTGTTGAAAGAAAGATATGGAAGAGATTAGTTATTTTAACTATTCAGAAAGACTAAACTTCCATGGTTTTACCATTTCACATATGGCGCCCTCTGAAGGTTTTTAAATCACCTCATACGGACTGACAAACAAAAACTTCTCTAAAAACTGAGCCTCTCATTTAATTAAATTATAAAGTAAAAGTTTAAAGTATTATCAGGAAGTAGTGAAATCATGTTCTTCTTGTGAATACCAGGAAACATTTACATTTATTTGAATAGATACTGTAGAAATATAGGAACTTTGAGTAAACTAGTCGAAAGTCTATTTGCTTTTTCATCTGGGCCTACATCAAAACTTTTGAAGTGAAATAATTTAATTCTTATTCTGGATAAAATATACACATTCCTCGGGTAGAAATTAAAATAAGTTCTGAATAACTTGTCAGGAGCTGAAAATAAACCAAAATCTGAACAATAGCATGACTGAAACAAGAGCATTTTCACACTTTTCTTGTGATGTGGTTCATTTAAATACAGGTTATTAAGTCACGAGACAGCGCACAAGTGGGTGTTTAGTGAGTAAGGGGTTGGCACAGCACCCTCCTGGGGCTGATAACAAGTGCAGAGATGGAGGAGGTTATAGGTGGCTAAGTATACTGTAGTTTGTCAGAGTTTAGTGCCAGTTTACGGGGGTTAGTAGCAACCTAGTGGTTATGGCATAGAGCATGGAATCCTGAGGTTCTGAGTTTGAGCCCCACTCCCACAAACTGCCACTCTGGATCCCTGAGCAAGACCCTTAACCCCACACCGCTCCCCAGGTGACGCACAATGGCAGCCCACTGCTCCCAGAGGGGATGGGTTAAATACAGAGGGTTCATTACATTGCTCTGCACTTGAGACAGATTAATGACAATAAAAACTGAAAAAAGAGACACCTATTGAGCATCCGTACACACACACTTACACTGGTAAAATCAAAATTACATCACGTTACAGTGTGCAGGAGGCCCCTTCCAGTACTGCCTGCAGCAGCTGACCCTTTCAGTAAAAAGCAGTACCGGACCATATCAGCTTACTTTCACTTCTAGCTCATACTCCAAAATATGCTCCAAAACATACTACAAAAAATAAAGATCATGATTCTTTAGCAATACAACAAATAGATGCTAACATAACCGTTGGATGGAGGCGGAGTTAAAGACAAGGTTTTTTTTTTTTCTCAGCATTTCTTTTAGCTAATTTTGATTTACGGGATCGCTGGTCAGTGCTTATTCAATGTTGTTTTATTTTATTAATTTCAATTCATAACATTACAGCTAAATTATAATAACTGTTTTAAATAAATGATTAAATAGCATGATAGAGGTCAGCTACAATGCTTTGAAAATATTTTCACATCCTTTGAGCTTAAAGTAACTTTAAGTAACAGATGCAGTTAATTTCTGTCCAGAATACTGCAGGGCACAAGACCAGGTAGCATAGTTTTCAGTTTTTTGATAAACATAGAGAAAGTGGGTTGTTAGTAGCAGAAGGAAGAAGTCACAGAAGGTGGCATTGACCCAAGAGTCACTCATGTATATTTTTTCATATGCAAAGTTTCCTGTTTGTAAGATAATATTGTTACATTTTATAAACATTAGAGTAGACGGGTCTACCTATCAAGTGTATCAGGTGACCTAATATGGTACAAACTGTTTTATTTAGATTATTTTGGGGGGTAAGATAAGGAAACATATAATTTAAATTTGAAATATAAACTTGTCACAATCTCATTTTAACTTTTTTACAATGACATCATGTGCCCAAAGTGATTTGCATTCTCTGAACTTTCCTATGTACTTTTGTAAAAGTACTGTTCTATCAAGCATGCAATATAAAGGGTGTTGGCTTGTGAAAAAGTGAGCCGAAAGCCACATGTAAACATCTGTGGATCTCCTCTCATTCTAGAGGGGAAAGTTTCAAATAAACCCACCATAATCCTGCTGACCACAGACCCAGGGGGTTTCAATTATTGAATCCCCCTAAACTCATTCTTAAAAGACAAAAACAAATTAGCACATGCTGAAAACAGCAAAAAAACACACCTTTGTGGAAAGTAACGTTTCTGAGTCATAAGGCAAGGGAAGACAAGATGCTTGCCATCTTGTTTCAGTGATAAAACATCATGTAACTATGAGCTTTCTTGAAGCATGCCATCTGGCATGTGAGGATGCCTTAAAAAACGATGACTAGGGAGTTTCAGTCTGCCCTGCAGTATTCTGGACAGAAATTAACTGCAACTGTCGGTTGCTCTGCTGTACTTGGATATACACATCAGAGGATAAAAATTCAGATGGATCATTTCCTCCCATATAGGATAACAACACTATCCACCTCCTCCAAATAATGTCAGGCTTCATGACTGTTGTAACTGTTTCATGTAATGGAACTTGAAATATTTCCCCAGCAGTAACTCCCCCCCTTTGATGAAAAAATAAAAAATGCAGTGACCATTCTTGCATATTGGTTTTTCCTGAAATTGAAGGACTGGAGGCTTTGAGTCTCGTTTTTACGGTTGTTGTTGTTGTCAGGTTTTTTTCTTCAATATCTAAATCAAAGAATTATCCTTCCTCATCAGAAATTTACAGGCTTTAGTCAGCGACGACAGCCTCTGAGTCGAATCTGTAGTCGTCCAAAGGCTTATCCGAAAGGTATTTTCCTACTTGCTCCAGCAGGCCCTTAGCGTCACAGGTGTTACACTGCAGCTGCCGAGTTAAATCACTACTCAGGGCAAACACAACACCATTCGCTTATACCACATAGGACTATATCACCTAATCCTTAGACACCAGTAATGTTAAAATGCCCAAGCTTCTGTTTTCCAAGATTTGGTTTAGTGAGCTTAAGGATTTATTGCCAAATGTACAGCGGCCAAGAAGGTAAGCCAGCAAATCTGAGAAAAACCACACAGTATTTTTCTTGTTATTGGAGGAAATATAATTTAACTAAATTTGTACCACAGGATTGATATTGTTTTGAGTCAAAGGAGGAAAAAGAGCAACATATGGCGCCTCTGTCGCAATGATGAGACATTTCCGTCAAATCACAGGTAATGTTTTGTTAGGTGTATTATTTAGGTGTGTATACTCTGTATTTCACTGAAGTGACCATTAATACTTTTTTTTTTTATTACAGCTGGAAGACTGACCATATGCTTGACCTCTCTCTGGAAAAAATACTACGAGACAAAAGTAAGAAATTTTACTTTATACAAAAATCCCTTTTATAATTTTAATCATTTTCAAGCTATGAAAATTCAGATATAACACTAATCTGTACCTTTTTTAAAGAATATAGAGCACTGTTCCGCTCTTTCCTGAAGTCTGAGTTCAGTGAGGAAAACATTGATTTCTGGATCGCATGTGAAGACTTTAGGTCAACTTCAGACGACCTGAAATGGAAAGCTGAAAAGATTTACGGGGAATTCATCGGACCTACAGCGTGCAGAGAGGTCAGTTTGACAGTGGTCCAGGAGTTGGGAATTGATGGCAAGAGAAGAGGTTTTCTGGGTGGGCCAGTAACATTTTTTTTTCCCATTTAAATGTCACATAAATGGAGAAAACAATTTGTTAAAGACAAATATATAACCAAGAACAAGAAAGAATAAAAGCTTCTCACCATTAACTGAATCATCACTGATGATGTAAGCTTCAGTTTCTACAGATTCTTATGCTCAGTGTTTTTTTTACACTTTAGCATTTTTTTAATGATACCTTGAGAACAATCTTTTAATAAACCAAACTCCTACTTGGCTCTTAACAGTCATTTATTTTTGATTGTTTTCACTATTTCTAATTTCAAAGAATGTTATTAGCTATTCATGTTTGATAATGAAGCCAAATGTTGTGCTTTGAACATGAAATATGAAATCCATGTGTTCTCTGGGGGTTTGTGTGGATTTGTATTTTGAAAAGTAAAGAAAAAAAGGCAAACAAAAGTACAAGAAGCTTACTGGTACAAAAATATAGTATCTTAATTGAGACAAATAAGCAAAAGCAGTTTAAAAGAAAAAAAAAAACTTAAGTCTTTAAAACATCTTTTTTATTTTTAAACAGTGCAGTCAGATTTATAATTAATTTCTTATATTAAATAAAATACTGCAACCGCCTGCCAGTCCCTGCTGCTTTTCATGGAGGCTGCCTGGAACACCATGTTCCATGAAAAGCAGCAGGGATTGGTTGAAGATGATTTCAGGTTCTGATTAGACACCAGACTTCAATCCTTGTTGGTGTTGATCTTCCTTTAAGTGGATGTCGATTATTACAGCTGCAGAGAGAGACTGGAGCTGTACATGTGGCTGGGGAAGATATTCAGTTCTTCTGCTTTAGCCACTTAAGGTGTTAGAGCAGGGTAATCGCTGATCCACTGATTGCTTTGTTTGCATTCTGGTTAAATTCTGCTAAATTTTACTACAAAGCATGTTTTTTTCAGTGTAATGCCTATTCTATTATTAAATAATTTCAGATAAATATATTTTAGTGAGTAGTATCTTGGGTTCAAGGGTTTATAGGAGTTCGCTCAACCAGTCCACATTTGTTTTGACCATTCGACTGTGTCCCTTGTGGTACCCTGTGGGGGTGGTCCGGGAGTATGGGGTCCGGGGCTCTCTGTTCAAGGCTGTCTGCTCTCTGTATGACAGCAGCAGAAGCTTGTTTCGCATTGCTTGCAGTAAGTCAGACCTGTTCCCGGTGCATGTTGGTCTCCACCAGGGCTGCCCTTTGTCACCGGTTCTGTCCATTATATTTATGGACTAAATTTCTAGGCGCAGCAAGGGACCAGGGGTTGTCCGGTTTGGGAACCTCAGGATATCATCTCTGCTGTTTGTAAATGATGTTGTCCTGTTGGCCTCATCAAACCAGGAAATTCAGCATGCACTGGGGTGGTTTTCAGCCGAGTCTGAAGCGCCCAGGATGAGGATCAGCACCTCTAAATCCGAGGCCATGGTTCTCCATGGCACAAGGGTGGACTTCCATCTTCAGGTTGGCGGAGAGACCTTGTCTCAAGTGGAGGAGTTTGAGTATCTTGGAGTTGTGTTGATGAGTGAGGGATGGATGGAGCATGAGATCGATAGAGAAGTTGGTGCGGCATCAGCGGTCGCTGTATTAGACTGTTGTGGTGAAGAGGGACTTGAGTTAGGGTGCAGAGCTCTTGATTTACCAATTGATCTATTTTTCCACCCTCTCCTATGGTCATGAGATCTGGGTAATGACGAAAGAACAAAGCGGCCGAAATGAGTTTTCTTTACATGGTGGCTGGTTGCACCATTCGATATTGGGTGAGGAGCTCAGTTACCCAGGAGGAGCTTGGAGTGGAGTCGATGCTCCTCCACATCGAAAGGAGTCATCTGAGGTGGCTTGGGCATCTGTTCAGGAGGCCACCTGTTCACCTCTCTTTGGAGGGGATCCAGGCACGTCTTATTGGAAGAAGGCCTCGTGGAGGGCAAAGGACATACAGGAGGGACAATGTCTCTGTGATGGCCTATGGTCGCCTCGAGGTCCCCCAAGAGCAGCTGGAGGAGGTGTGTGTGGATCGGGAAGTCTGGGCATCTCTGCTTAGACTGCTGCCCCTACGACCTGGCCACGTAAAATGGTGCAGTCACTGTAGTATACAATATGTTTAGATATGTAGTCTGTTTAATAAATTGGTTAATTCGCTTCTAAATTACTGGTAAAAACATATCCAAAAACACATATAGAAAGATAAAGAGCTAATGGTAAGGTGCTGGTGGTACCGCATACCACCATTTCAAGATGGTCTATTCAAAAAAGTACAAAATAATCTCTTGTCATGATCTGGCCTGTTTGCTCTCCCCTAATTAGTAATTCCTCTCACCTGCCCTCTTCCTTCCCAGCCTCAATTATAATTTATTCCAATCACCTGTTTCCTCTGGTTTATATTCAGTTCAGCCTGAGCAATCAGGGCCAGATCATTGCTTGTCTTTCTGTCAGTCTTTCTGTTCAGTTTTTATTTGGTTCATGTCCTGGATCCTAGCTGCCAGTGGAAAGAGGGTTTTTGTGTTTGTCTCGTCTCCTGATCGTCTACTGTTCCTCCCCCGCGGAGTCCTCTGGGTTTTTGGCTCATTGTGGGGGGAGGTTCAGTTTTTATCAAAGTAAGCCTGGCTCCAGGGTGGAGACCAGTTTAAAGTCTGCTTCAAGCTCCGGTTCCTACGTCCTGTCTCGGCTACCCTCTTCCACTGTGCCTGCCTGTCTGCACCTGATCCTGTCTGCTCCTGTGCGTGACCACCTGGTCATGCTTCTGGTCCCAGTAAGACTCTGAACCCTCCTGGAAGCCTGTGCATGCCTGGAAGTCTGGATCCTGCCACCTGTCTTTGTTCCTGTCTGATCTGGATCCTGCCTGTTCCTGTCTGTTCTGGATCCCTCACCAGGATCAGCTTCCAGCATCACCTCTGGGACTGCAGCACTGGGGACACTCGTGGTCTGGACTGTTAACCAGAGTGTCTGAGATTGGGCGGTGCCCCGCCCCCCCGCCTGCAGTGTCCGCGAGCCACAGCTCCACTTTAGTTTTGTTTTATTTAATAAACGTTTGAACTTTCCTACTGACTGTCTCTCCTGAATACTGGGTCCATCTGTCCTCGATTCTTGACATCTCTAACAAACTCTTAAACTTCCACACTTTACAAAAAATGTATTCTTCGTTGGGAGATTTTGCTTGAACTTCTGATTCTATAGGAAAAGGGTTAGGGTTAGTCCAAGTATGAGAGGATTAAACTTAAAGGGATGTTTTTAATAGTTCAGCAACATTGAACTTTTTTTGTCTGAATAACAAATATTTTGAAATGATTGTTTTATTTACCACATTATCTGAAGCTTATCAACACTGTAGTTATTAATTGGACATTCCAATTGTTAACTTTGTTGTCTCTTTCTCTTGTAGATCAATGTAGACCATAGTATCAGAGAGAAGATCCAGAAATCATTGAAGAAACCAAGTCGAAGCTGCTTTGATGAAGCCCAGAAACATGTATTCCTGCTGATGCTAAGAGACTCTTGTCCCAGATTCCTTCAGTCACATGCTTACCTGAGTCTGAACCGCAAATCTAGGACTCAGTGGTATATTTAGGAAAATAGTGTGCTTTTCTCATTTTGGAGAAAAGATTTACTACGCCTTGTTGATCTATACCAAAACAAAATGGATGAATATGTGCAACCTATTTTTTATGTTATAAAGATTGCAAAGCTTTTGAAAAGAACTGTTGGAAGTGAGAGAAGCTATGTAATGGATACATGAGTCAAAGGAAGATAGCACTGTACATGTTCATGCTCGCAGACTCGTTCAGTTGCTGGAAATGCTGCATGTGTTGCAGACAAGTCTGAGTACGTAGGGGGGGATTATGGAGAACAATAAAATGTCCACCGATATATAAGCAGTAGAACAATAAACCGTTATCTCTTAAAAAGGGATTGATTTATTTGTCAAATTATTTTGTCCATCTTGTTTTAACTTGATGTTCAGGCAAACATTTACACTAAGCAAATCACAGAATGCATCTTTAAGACATGGATGCACACATTCTCCAGTAAAAGAGCAAGTTTAATTTGTTTATCTGTAACATTTTGGGAATATTAGGTACCAATATTTTGAAGAGAATTTATGTAAAATAATTTTGCATTACTTCATAATGATGGAAATTGATTTTACTTTGTTTAAATTTACCTTTTGGCATTAAGGGTTAGAGAAAAACATATGCTTTGTTATTTTTTTTCAGAAATTCAATATCTTTACCTCTTCTCTGTATCTCTTCAGTATATTTTATATTAATGATGTCCTTTGGGACATATGTTTTGTTTAGACATGAATGCAAAACCTTTAAATTCTGATGCTGTTCATGGTTTCCAAATTTTTTTGAGAAATTTCCTGTTTCACATTAAGAAGGAAAGCATGTTAACTATTTGATGTGATATAGTTAGTTGGACAGTTGGAACATAAAATAAAATGGGTTAAAACGTGATGTGTTCACTACGTAAATATAAAAACATTCACGTAACTTTAAAATGGAAAAACTTACATCCTTATTTAGAAAATAGTATTTTTATAGGTTAAATCTTAGGCTGTGAAAATGTAAAGAACTTTAATGTTCACCTTGATTAAACTTATCAGCGAATATTTAAATTAATACTACCAGCAATATTGTCTCTTAGACAAATAAGATAGTACCCATTCAAATTTAGAATATTAATTGTAATCAAATAAAGTTTTGACTGGACTACAGTTTTACATCACAATTATTTACCTTTTGTGGTTAATACATTGCTACATTGTATTAGCAATTCATATTTATTGTCTAAAAGTAACTTTTTTGTCTATATTTCGAATAGTTAGTTATATTAATCTGAAAGAACAACTAACTGCAGATTTAGAGATGGACAGGAACTGTGAAAAGGAGAAGAGTTTCCACTTTCCAGAAAGAGATTCTTTTTAGGTCTTATGCCTGATACATTCTCTAATTAGTGCAGGGATGATTCCATACACCAGTAACAGGGTTTACCAAACTGGAAAAAAAAAGCAACCCTCTGTGACCTTTAATCATGCCCCTGGTCTGAGCAAGGCTTTCTTCCTAAAAAAGGTGCCTAAAAAGGAAAACTCAGGCAGCTAAAAATAAGTCAGAAGCTTAAACGACAGCACTGCTGGAGTCATCAGACAACCTGAAGCGTAACAATCAGAATGTACTGCCTTGTTAGGGTAATAATCTCATCACCCTGAGGCAATTATAGGGTAGATACACAAGTACTTAACTTAGAAAAAGAGCAAGTAAGAAAACTAAGATGACTATTTATCTCCATTAATAATATAAAAACCATTGTAAAAAAGTCAGTATTACATTAGGGACCAAAAAAGAAACTCAAAAAAACAAAAACAATATTTAGTTATTGCAAGTTATACATACATACATAAATTAAAAAAGCTTGTAAAGGAGGATTACAGGAACATCTGCTGGTATTTTCAGATGCATTAGAAACAGCTGCTAATCCTCCTGCTTTTCAACCTGATGAACACAGGGCATCAAAAAACCAGCGGAGCAGAGGTTGAGTGACTGCCATGCAGCCATATCTTCATTACACAACTAAAATCAACACCATGGGACATGAAGAAATCCCTCAAAAAGTTTTATTTGCCAGTTATTTTGCCTTGACAAAGCAAAATCTAGCAGGGACCAACACATCTGAAGCAGTGACTATCTTTGAGTCCCGAAACAGGGTGGGTAGATGGCCAGGATCTTGACCACACCAGCTGGAACGCCACAGTGTGTGTTAAGCGACCAGGTTGCACTCAGATTCTCCTTTGGGAAGCCACAGAAAGTAGAACTAAAAGAGCCCTAAATTTTCACAGTCAGCCAATGCATTTACCCTGTTGATGCTCTTGTTTATGCTGACAAGTTGGAATAAAAGTGTGGCAAAGGTGAGCAGACACCAGACAGCTGGAACATTGCGATCATGGTTGATTTTCACCAAATCCTTGGCAAGGAGAAGAAGACCCAAAAATGTTTCATCAGTGATCATAAACAAGCAGTGAAATGACATTGGCAAGAATAGACAGAAACAGCATTAATTATGACAATGAAAAATGGTAACCACACAGTGGAACCATCTTGAAAACGTAATCACTAAAATATAGAGGAGATTCTTTAGTCTTTTATCTGATAATGATCTCCTAAAGTTAAACCTTCTTGTCAATGTAAGTATAAAGGGTACTAAAAAATGGTCAGAAAGGACAGGGCTGTGTGGAAATACTGTTATTTCTTTACTGTCAATGGCATTTGTTAGCACAACGTCCAAAGTATGAAGATGAAAATGTGTAACCGTACGCTAATTTTGAACAAAGCCTATGGAGTGTAACCCCACTAAAATCATAAGAGCTGCAGATTCTGCCAAGCACCCTATACTACTGGGTTTTTGTCAGAGCAGAGCACCTTGGAGTGGTTGGACTCGAATAACGTGACAATTTGATCGTAGTGCAGTGATAGTTTATACATTAAGGCTTTAAATAGAGCAATAAAGTGGTTATATGGCTTATACAGCTGGTGTCTGGCATGCCGACTCTTTATCTGGTCACCTTACCTTTCAGCCCATGCCTTTTCTTTTCTAGTGTTATCTGTATAAAACGGATGAGTTGTGTCATATACAATGGTCTGTTTTTCCACCGCCAAAATAAACATTTTGTGTTCCGTGGTGTCCTATCAAATTGGATTCCTTGGTGGTTCTGGGTTTGAGCCACAGCTGCTGTTGTTTTAATGTTTTAGAATTAAATACAATTCACAGTCTGCACATGCAGTGTTTGACTTAAAACTTAGATTTTTGCAACTAACTTCACTCTACTGTAGAGAGACAAGGAGTTGAAGTATCAAGCGTGGGAGAATAGATCAGTCACACATTTTAGAGAAGTGTCCAACAGCCAACGCTTTTGGGATGGAACCAACCTCATTGGCTAGAGTGGCTGCCATCAACCATGGCAGCAGGGTGTGGCCACTCTGCAGTGCTTACTGACTTGGTAGAACCCTAAGATCAGATAAGATTACAGGATGCATTTATGCAATCACTTTCAATTTTGGTATGAATGTTGAAATCCCTTGTCTGTATTTAAAACTAAATCAAGCAGGAACTCTGAAAACTGATCTAAAAACTGTGAGTAAGGACCTGGTGGACAATAAAAAGTTACTAACAGAAGAGGTTTTGTTGCTTTAAAATTTGGGGTTAAATGTTAAAAATGTTTTACTATTAACTGGCTTTGGGCTAATCAATAAGTCAGATTGAAAGATTGCTACTGCTCATCCTTGTTGCCCAAAATTTCTGCGGATATGGGAAATTAAAATAGCTGGAGAGTTGCCTAGTTTTCATTTACATAACTCTCTTGTTGCAGCAAGGTATCTGTAGGAGAAGATAAATCAATTTTGATTATCACAGATGAAGTAATTAACACATTTTGTAAGAGAAGAGAGGGATCTTATGTTAAATAAAACAGTTGTTTTAACTTTTTTATCAATGGATTAATTGTAATTTGTACTATATTATCAGAATTCACATGGATAGGATAATCAGAAAATATTTTTTTCAAAATCTTTTTATTTCACCCATGGATAAGACTGTCTGGATGATGGGTGGGTAACAGTAGAGATACTGAATAGGTGTGTTCTACTAAAACTCTGCTTACTTGTCTGCATCTTGATTTGTATGGGTTTTGGAGGACTAATATCTCCAAAACCCATACATTTGGCCAGATTCCTAAAGGGCCGCACCATTCTAAATGGGATTGATGCAGCTCTGAATCAGACAAGGTTTCCCCCAAATAGCCCACATTGAACTATATAAACCACCAGTGGTTTAATGATGACATGTCGCTAGATTTGTCTCAATGGTCAGATCAGGGAGGGGGGCAGCGAAAACCATCAGAAATTGTCTTTGCAAACTTGCACACCAAAGCAACACAAATTTTTTACCTCTGGTTGGTGTAATCGGATATAGTTACCGCCAATATGAAAAATAATTATACCAGGACTTAATCTACGCTTTTAAAATCATGGTCAAATTTTGCCCCCTTCAACATTTGCTATCATCCCTGGTGTCTTTAAAGTCATATTTTTGAATACAAGGCTGCCAATCAACACAGGCAGCTTTGCCTAGAAATGAAAAGGCAGAGGTATAACACATACCCTTGCACAGAAAACAGGAGAGAGGAAGGGGAGATTTAGAATGATTTAAGAAAGCATCAGGGGCCTTAGAAAAGAACGCCATAGTAGTGTCAAGCTGTGGTCATGCACAAGCCATATGACCAGAGATGGGTATTAACTAGTTATATTTACTCATTTACATTTATTCATGTAACTTCTTTAAAACAATTTCACTTTAAAATTTAGTTTTGCTATACCTTACTTTACTTACCTTACTCCTGGTAAAGTGATATAGTATCACTACTCTTTCTTATTTAAGATTTCTGTCTACTCAACTCGAGTATTTGCTAGTAACTTTAGCAGTTGGAGATCAGGTCAACATACCATAAACAACAGATACCATCACAATAAGTTAAAAAAGTTTATTTTGCCTAAATGTACTTTTTTGTAATCAAGCATTTTTTATATATATATTTCTTTGTTTTATTTTAAATATAAACACCCCAGACTTTGCATATAAAATTCTGATTACATCACTTTTTAACATTAAAGTGAATCTTAACCAAACAGATACTTAATACTTGAGTAGCCTTTTTACCAAATACATGACTGCTCTCTACTTTTACTGAGATAAAACATTTTGAAGTAGTGCCAGTCTCACTTAAGTAACATGTTTGTTATCGTCCCACCTTTATATAATACATTGATCATGGCAAAAAACTTCAGCTTGGTTAAATTCTTCATTCAATGAAAACATTGTACAACATTGTTGATGTTCAAATTGCAGGTATGAAATCAATATATCAGTATTGGGTTTTCTGAATGCTGATAATTTATAGGACACTATGTTATATTTAGTTATATTTGGCTTCAAATAGTTGCATTATCAAAATAATTTAGTGGCTTAATGTGCAGTTATTTATGAGGAGCACAGTTTATTTCTAAGTTCTGCGTCTGTAGTCGTAAGTATTCCAGGGTGTCAGGGGTTGTTCCTATTAAATCACAAAGTTCTCAAATCTCTATCACACAGTGTACTGTTCCTCACACACAAGATGCCACTGTTTTCCCATTGCCCAGTGAGGTTACCATGGTAGCTAAAAGGAAGGAAGTACTGTCAATGGCACTATGTCAAAGTTGCAA